AAGGGCATCCCATTAGTTTCCACCTTCCAGTACCACTACCTACTGCATAAAGACATTCAGGAAATACCCACAGCCATTACTAGTTGGAGGAACTGGGTGATGGATACATAGGATCTCTACATGTTATCTCTTACAGCCACATTTGAATTTACAGTCTACACAAAATAAAAGTTGTTTAAAATGTCATTATCTCAAAATAATTTTTAAATGGCACTGTCCTCCTAAAGAACAATGAACCAAACCACTTGCTACCAGATTCTAGTGTTTTTAATTTCCTTGTTCACACGTGGTAACAGAGCTCACTCTAACAACTAAGTACAGCAGCACTTAGCAAGTGCCATCAGACCAACTAGGAGCTACAGAAACAGGCAAAGGCAGAGACAACAATGTCGATTTGGAAGAGAATATATGTTTCTAATAATGAATAAGAATTTGTCTTACGGTTACTTTCCTGTCAGCCAAACACAATAACCAACATCTACAAAGTAAAGAAGAAAAGGTCTATCTTGGCTTACACTCTGTAGAGGTTTCAGTCCACAAACAGCTGGCTCCAAAGCAGTATGGAAGGGCTGAGAGACACAGCTGAAGAGGGTTGCTTGTGGCACTAACCCCAGAAGACAGAGTGTGAGATCAAGACAGGAAGAAGACAGACTCTTCCTGGACACGCTGCCAGTGGCCTGCCCCTCCACCCAGACTGTGCTTCCCAACCTCACATGGAGCTATAAACTCATCAGTAGGTTAACCCACTGACCAGCATCCCATACCTATGCTACCTTGCAAAAGCCCCACCTATGAGGCTTTTTTTGGGGAGGGGGAGCATCTAGACATAAACCACAAACAGAACTACAATGCAAACTTAAGATATTTCCCACAATGCCTGTATTCCTGCCAATGATTACAAATATTTCTAAACAGAGTACAGGTATGATCTGACCAGTGGATGACTAATTTACTACTTCCCACTCTCTGCCATGTTGCTTAGGCAGAAAGGAGAAAAGAACAAGATACGCAAGGATATACCACATACACTTTCACTCTTCTCTTACAACTACCCTGCTGCAACACCTCTAAATATGAACACCTCAAGGAAGAACAGCACAGAAAGCTTCCTAACACCTCCAGCTGCCAGGCCTCTTCCTCCTGGTTGTAAGGAGAGCCGTGCTGCCCTCTCCAGTCATGCCCAGCTCTCATCGCTCTTAGCCTTCCAAGAACCCATGACTCTACCATCTCTTCCCACTCCTATCCCAGGAGCATTTCCCAAATGCCTCTTTGCCTTTAGAACACACTAGTCTCCTCCTAACTCTGCTGGAGTCCTGCCATGGTAGTCACACTCGAAGAAAACAAAACCAACACAGAAAGAATTTAATTCATCATTTGTGAATGGCCTTGCCTTCCAGGAAAGCTCTCTTGTAACCATAGCTTATTTCTTAATGATTAGGTTACTTTTAGAAATTAGAGGTTTAGTGTATACCCAGAAACTTAATATTGAACTATTATTCACACCAACTAGGCAAGAACTGTTTTCACCAGCTAATGTATCTTGCCAATCTGGCTCTAAGCTGAAAGCCAGCAAGTGAAGTCTGTGGGGGTCTAAACAATATCCCGTGGATGCTAGGGCAATCTGCAACAGTGACAATGACCTCTCCTTTGTCTGGCTAAATTGACGTGGCTGACAAGTTGGCTGGTCAGGTTCCCCATCTTCTATTTCCCCTCCAGGCCCTCTGCTTCCAAAGCTACGAGCGGTAACAAGAGATCAGTGTGCTCTGCACCCGAGTTATCTGCTTTATGCAAGCTCACAGTGTCACCTTCTGTTCTAACAGATTTAGCTGGTTTCTAAATTCACAGCTAATCAGAAGGAACAGTAAGAAAGTACTTTATTCAGTCAACAGCCATCGGCTGAATTCCCTAAGTGCCATGAACCCGGGGATAAAGCAGTGACGACTATACAGTGGTGTCTACCTTCCTTGGCTTAAGAAGAGAAGGGTCAGAGAATACAAATTAAATTCATTGTAAATGAAATAATTACATGTACTATTGCTCATGAACAGAGTTAAGGATCTTGAACTTAATCAGAATTATAAACAATAAAAATGCCTTCCAGTCCTATAGAATTATAAAACAAAAATCTCAATCCAGGCATGTTGGCACACACACCTGTAATTCCAGCTAGTGTGCAGGCTGAGGCAGGAAGATTTCACGTGTGAGACGGAAAGGCAACTCTGCCAGAACGTCTCAAAATAAGATTTTAAAAAGGGCTGTGGGTATAGTTTAGTATTAGAACACTTGCCTCCCATAAGTTGTAGTTACGAGTTTAAAAAAAAAAAAGGGGGTGATGCGGGGGGAGTAAGGAAGGAAGAATGGGAGACTAGAAGATCAGGAGGGAAAGCAGAAGAGGGAGGGAGTCAGGGAGATCCCAGAGGCCAGCTTGTTATTATCTCTATGCTAAAAGCTAAAGGCTATTCGACATCCCCAAAGAAGAACCAAGTAGAGCGCTCCATAGACGGAGGTCACTGAGAACTGAAGAAAGGAAGCAGAAAAGCATGTGGTGGTGGTTGTTTTAAAGCATAGCTTCAGCTATTTTGACCCAGAGCGGGCCCTGCAATAAGGAAAAACCCTCTTTCTTCTCATCATTTAGCACTCTGCTCCCTGGAATAAGCAATCCTTGCACTATACTTCTTTTGTTTTAAACAACTTTTACAGATTCATCTGGGCCCAAAAACCACATGGAAAAAATCCTCTTAAGGCCAGTGACGTGTATTCTGAACAAGCAACCAATAAATTGATCCTATTTGAACTGGAGACTGCCTCGTTCTGTCACAGCTCCCACTTGCTTTATTTTCCACAAGGCTTAGCTCCAGTCAAAACTCAGCCGCACCAACTAATCTTTGACAAATGATAAGGAAAATTACATGATCAAAGGCATCTAATATTTTCAAATCTGAGGTATTGCTCTGCCCCCCAGAAGGAAAAAATAGCTCTGAATTATAGCTGCAGAAGAAACCTGGCCTTTCATTTTGTTTTTTCCTTTTTGTATCGGGGATTAAATGCAAAGACATTAAGCCCTCCATCACTAAGCTGCATCTCCTGATTTTTATTTTATTTATTTAGTACAGGGTCTATAGAGTCTCACTACACAGATCGGATTCTTAGTGATTCTCTTGTTTTCAGCCTCCCAAGCGCTGGGTTTACAGACATGTGCCACCATGTCCAGTCCCAGTGGCCTACCCAGTTCACTTCGTCCAGAGATGGGGCAGCATGGCACGCTGGAGATACAACCACCATCCCTGCACCTGCCTAAGCAGGAGCTTTAGTCCACTGACCTATCCAGCCGGCCTGATTTTTATTTCTTTTACTTAATTATTTTGAGTCAGTGCCTCTCTAAACTGCCCAATCTAACCTCAAAATTGATACTCCTGCCTCCTGGCTACTTAGAATTACATGGAAACCTACATGTCTTACCCTTCAAATGCAATTTTCCCAAGTATAACTTGAAGATTTTTGTTAATTTAGTTTTGCCCACTGAAAAAAGAAAACTACTCAGACTTCGGACTCTAGACTCGTTCCCTACAATTACAGCCCCCCTTCATCCCGAACACTTCACCAAGGCCACCTACATTAAGTTAGTAACTGGCCTCTGCAGGCTGCCCACGTCTTCATGCCTAAACGTTTACAACTGTGTGGCGGGGAGTGAAGGTGTCAAAAAGGGTGGCAATCTGTAGTCCAGGCCTCCTGCCACAAATCAGGAATTCGAAAGGAGTAATTTTTTAATGTGCTGTAGACAATTTTCCAACAATTCTCTCCCTTCGCCAACTAATTTGTAACCAACTGTGAGAAACTGAGCGCAAATTCTTTGGGAAAATTCTACCTTTCGCCTCCGGACCATGAGCCCTTTACAAACTCTTCCATCCACCTATGCTGCTCCTACCGTCCTTAAAAATCCGCCTCTGCAACAACTTCGCAGAGCCATTCACCTCATCTCATCATCTTTCCTGAAAACCCTCGGATTTCGTCTCATCTCAACGAGTATAAAAGCCCGAGCCCCCAGAATGGCCAGCCTCTGCCACTTGGGCAGCCCCTCACCTCTCCTGCCTCCTCCTAGGTCTCCCTCATTCCCCATTCGCCCTTCTTCCACATTCCTCTGCCTGAATGCTACCTGCCTTCCTGGCAGAACGTCCTCAGACATCACTTTCTCTTAACACCTCCTCCCTATCCAAAACTTGCAGCTGCTGTGCCCTTAAACATACTCTTCCTGTACTTATTAGCTACTAATTCCACGAATGCAGGTCTGCATTTGGGCCACTGCTGTACCCCCAAGGTGCAGAACAGTGCAAGTTAGCCCACAGCAGTTCAATAAGCATTTTATAAAGGAGAGGCAACGACTCGACACAGGTTTGCGCCTGCTCTCGTCCAAGTTTTAGGCGGAGACCAGCTGCCCCAGCAGCCCAGCAAGTGAGCATCGCTCCACAGTCACAAACGTGTTAGGGTACAGCACTGCACGCTCAAGGCATATCAGCAGGTCAAAGAAGGCACTACAAGTTCCCAAAGGCCGGGCTGGCCCAGTAAGCTTTCCTGGGGCGCCCCCCCTACACCCCGGTCAGCCGCCACCGGTCCCACTCAACCCACCCCAGACCTGAGAAGTTACTTATGCAACTTCCGGCCTCCTCACGTCCGGAAAGAGATGTAGAAGGACCAGACATTAAAGCCTATTGCTCGCCCTCGACCTCTCCCCTTTACCCCAGGTGCTGCCCTCCACAGCCGCCCAGGTATGAACTCCACGTAACAGCTGCCCTCCCGCCAGCACCGCCAGGCCCGCCCCACCGGGTTCCTTGGCGCTCCCCTACCTCTTCCCGGCTTCCCCCGCGGCTCGACGAGGCGCATGCGCACTAAGGCTCTTGAGGGTCTGGACGGGACTGGCGCCGCGGCCGCTGCTAGGCACGCCCCCAAAGGAGCACCGACTTCTGATTGGCTGCTGCCGCTCGCCCGAGCAAGGCTGGAAAGCTGGGGCTGTGCATTTAAAGGCGCTTGCCAGTCAGCTCCTACGCCCTTGTTTCCTGCTCCTCGCCTCCTACGTTAACTTTGCGGAACTCCTGTAACCCAGCCAGCATGTCTCAGGTACAGCGCGCGCCTAGCCAAGCCGCGAAGGTGCAGCGGGGAGGGCGGCTGGGGTGGGGGCCGGTCGACTGTCCCTTTGATGTCGCGCAGTTGCTCCTGGACCCATGCCCAGCCCTGATGCTTTGCGCAGAGCGTTCGGAGCAGAACTTTCTGGTTGAGGGGGGTGGGTTCAGAATAAACTACCCACGCCCCAATTGCTGGAAAGTTGCCCGTGGGGTGGGCTGCACGGTAAGGCATTCGAGTGGGAGGCAAGGGTCCTGGTAGAAAGGGGCGATTGGAGGCTGAACGAGTTGGAGGAGCAAGAACAGAGTCCTACATCGGGAAGGACGGAGTCGGCGTCTCGGCGAAGTAGGGACCTGAGGAAACCGTGGCAGAGTTTGGAGGTCAGGGGAAGTAGGAGCCAAATGTCTGAAGCGCTAAAAAGAAGAATCGTGGCCCCGGGAAGATGACCCAGAGGCCTTTTTCGCTGCCCTCCAGGGTAGACTCTTGTCCAGGCTGAGCAATGTGGAACGACCTCTGGCTCCTCCGGTCTGCCTCCCCTAATCTGGGCACTGGGACAGAGGTCAGCGCTGAACTCCCAGGCCTAGGGAAAGGGACAACGGGGAGGCTCCTGTAACTAACACCCCTGCATTGGCTGCCTGACCCCTTATCAACTGTTTTGGGCCCGCTGTGCACCCCCTGTCCATAGGTCGGCTTCCCATGGTGCTTTTCCATGTGCACACCCCTGGGGCCAAGCCTTGGCCTGCCTTCTGTGCACCATTTCCGGCCGCTGTCCTGGCAGTGCCAAAGAGTAATTGGGGATTGAGTGAGAGAGTGGGTGTGCTTCCCCTCCTTGTTTTACTGGATCTAGCTGCTCTGAGGAGGAAGGAGAGACGCTTGAGGGAGCTGCTTCTCCTGGCCTGCCTAGAGAGAAGGGCTACTTCTCCATCCTCACCTCCTGTCCCTGGGTGTACTGTTCAGGCAGAGCCAGGACTCCTGTCATCACGCACTCAGAGATGGCCCTCATTTCTCTCCCCTCTTCCCACTTAGGCTGAGTTTGAGAAAGCTGCAGAGGAGGTTAAGCGCCTCAAGACCCAGCCATCAGACCAAGAGATGTTATTCATTTACAGCCACTACAAACAAGCCACTGTGGGCGACGTAAATACAGGTGTGCTGAACTGCTCATCAAAGCAAGCGCTGACTTTTTGGCTCAGCAGGCTTCATGGAAAGTCCGTGGGAAGTGTACTCTCAAGCTGCCTAAGGCCCTAGTCTTCAAGTAGAATGTGGTCCCAGTCCGTGGGATTCCTGGGGTTTAAGCTTCGGAGTGTTTCCTCAAAGCCCATCTTCCTGGATTCTCAGTGACTTAACTAGTGGAATTGCAATACTATTTTATTGTCAACTGCAGCTGCCTTTGCTGGAGAGGAACTAGAGACCCTAGTAGACATGCTGTAGGTGCTCAGCTCAGTAGCTTTGCTGAGTGGCATTGCATCCACCCCAGATGGGCAGTTTCACACTTGGAGCTGGGAGCCTGGCCATGCCTAACAGAGGAGTCTTGGAAAAGCACCTGTCATCCTATAGCATGTCAGAAGTGTGTTTGCTGGTCAGAGTTTATACCTTCGTTGACTATTAGATCTCCATCCATAAATCTTGGTGCAGATTTTGAAGCTATGCTTTGAACTTCCATATTCTGTAACACTGTCTCTCCAGCCCTGAGCAGTTTTCCTTTTGTCCCTAAGTCCTTAAGATGTGGTAGTGTACAGAGGCAACAGTACAGCACGTTCCCTACTGAACATGAGGGTTAGCAGCCACAGCAGATTAGAGGTAGGTTCCCTCCCACTTCCCCATCTCTGTTCTGGAGAGGAGGGACCCCCAGTTTTACCAGATCTAGGGTGGATGGTAAGCTGCTGTCTAGCTGTAGCAAGGGACCTTGCCCAGAGCTCAGGATCATGGATAGTATCAAATCAAACACTGTGGTTCCCATCAGGGCTTAGTTAAGGAATAGCTTGTGGCAAAAATGAGTTTTACAGTGGGTTGATAAACTGTTCTTCCAGTGGTAGAATGGGAGTGGCCACAGTGTTTAAAATAGCTTGCTGCCAGGTAGTACCTTCACAGAGCGTGAACTGTCCCAGCCCAGAAGATTTGCTCTCAACTGAGTATAGGTAGCCTGGCTTGGCATCTTATTCCCACTTCACCAGGAAGTATTGGCTCCCTGTAAGGCTTGACTATTCAATACAGCACAGTAGCCACTAACCACATGTGGCTATTTACATTTTAACTGAAAAATTTCATCTCTCGCCTCAGAGCTGTATTTCAGGGACTCAGGGGTAAGTGGCTCCTGAATTACTTGTTGCAAATATCATTCCCACGGTGGCAGAAAAGGCTGGCAGGGAGTACAGTACTAGGATTCCAAGGGTGACTGCAGTTATAGCCGTTGTCAAAGATCCCACAGAACGCTCATGGGGCTGCTCGAGGTTTTCCCAGACACAGAGCTGCAGGCTGTAGACGTCCAGCTGCTCCTCTCGGCAGTGAAGTAGGTCAGCAGGGTAGGGAGAAGGGGGAGTGTTTCCCTGCTGCAGATGATTACTGGCCTGGAAACCTAAAATTACAATAGAACTTTGCTTGCTCTCAGTTAAAAAAAACAAAAACAAAAAACAAAAAAAACCCTCGCGTAATGAATGAGAAATACTCATAAAACTGTGGAGGAAAGACTGAGGCCAGGATATGGACAAACAGATCACGGGCACAGATACCACAAGACTGACAATAAGCGTGCAATGGGAGGAGAAGCTGGTGGCAGGGACTGGAGGAAGAGGAGAGCTTGATGGTGCAGTGGTACTTTGGTTCACAAATTTAATTCTTGCCACGATTCTGATAGCAAACCAAATTGGAAGAGAACTGAATCAAATTCAGTGTTTAGGTTCAGTGCTGATCTCATGTGAAATTTGATTTGAGTTCTTATCCATTTTGGCTTATGCCCAGAATTGTGGAAAGATTTAAGCTCATAAATTGAGGCACTACCACATATTCCGTTTAGCCTTCATAGCTTTTGAAGTTTGATCCATGTGGATGGAGTTTTAAAATTTTATGGTACAGTTATTAAAAGAAATTTTGGAGGTATTTAACTTGCAGTTCCAAAACTGTCTTGTACTAAGAACTTCCTCCTGTTTTCTCTAGGTTTTAAGTTTGGGTTTCTTTACATCTAGGTTTCTTAAGACAGAATCTACTATGTTAGGCCTGGTTAAGTACAGGCCCAAAAGGAATCCATGTAATAAACATTGGCTTTCATGGAAAGAAAGATGAAAATTGGAAGCAAATATAATGTCTCTCTCGCTCTCCTTTTTTTTTTTTTTTTTTTTTGCTTAAGAGCGGCCTGGGCTGTTGGACCTCAAAGGTAAAGCCAAATGGGATGCCTGGAACCAGCTGAAAGGTAATCATCCCTATCAGTCCCCTCCTTCGGAAGTCCAGGGGTGAAAGACTCTTCTTCATGGAGTGCAAGGGGTCAGGGAAGGAAACCACTCAGGGGGCACATGTTGGCCACCAGTCTGACCTATGTCAGAGTGGGGAAAACTGGGCCACCTACTTTCTTCCTAAAGTGCATCTCTGGGCATCGGAGTGGGCAGGCTAGATGGCCAGGCCACTGAGAAACATGCCAGGAGGTAGTGTGGGCATGGGCTTTGGACATGTGCAGAGTAAGGGGCGGTTTCCTGTCCACACCTCCCCACCCCACCAGTGACCCCTTAGCTCGCTAGAGGGCTCTCCCAGTTCCCATCTAGCCAGAAGGCGCATGAAAAGGGAAATGAGGTAATGCGTGCTCAGCTGATTGTAGGCTCTATGAATGGAGCTATTGTTTACTGAAAACACCAACTGCCAAGAACTGGCTGGGCTCCTACGAAATCACGTGCCCCTGTGGCAGTAAGACCCAAAAGTTGGCACCAAGCTCCTGGCCGTTTTTGTGTCCTCACTAGCTCATTGCTGAATAAGCTCTCTGTCTCTTACAAATGAAATCAGAAAGGGCACAATACAATAAATACAATCCTAGGATTTGCAGTGGGGAAATGCCTGTCTGTTTGGCCCTTTGTGCTAGACACTTCCACACCATTTTCAGGCCTGAGTACTTGAGCATAAGCCCCTGAGGGCCGCTCTTCATGGGAGAATCCAAGAAGCAGGCGTGACAGTCTCTGAGGATTTCTTCGGTGTCCTTGGCGCTGTAATGGGGAGACAAAGATTTGTCTCATTCGTCTTCAAAAACCAGTGCTTTTGCTCAAAGCCTGGAACCTCTTATAGTTTCTCTCTGGAGACAAGAAAGTGGCTGGTTGTTTTTTCAGTGCCAGCTCTGGGAAATAAAAGCACAACGCAGAAATATACAATAAGCCAAAGCCAGCCATGAAATCCGCAGGACCAGTTACTACAGAACAGTTGCCCGGCTGTCTAGAAGGCGGCGGCTCACACTGAGCTTACACACACAGATGGGGGACCTTGGCCCCGTCCCCCTGTTCATGATGTGTTTTATGCAGCAGAAAGTTCCTTGGGAGCTTTCTGTCTGAGCCCGCAGCAGGTCTCCAGGATGTAGGTGTCCTCCCCCATGATAGCAGAGAAACTGAGCCTTAGAAAGTTCAAGTGAGGCTGAGCAGAAGCCAAAAGCCAGCTGCTCTCCGACTATGCTACAGTAATCCTGTTGATTCCTTGCAGGGACTGCCAAGGAAAGTGCCATGAAAGCTTATGTCGACAAGGTAGAAGAGCTGAAGGGCAAGTACGGAATGTAACAGACTGGATTTGGTCGCCAGCCATGCATTTCACCTGAAGCGATAGAATGCCTTGTTTTTTCTAATACTGTGGATGAAATGGAAATAGTTCCTGGTAGTTCCTCGGGGCTTTCCAGGAGGTAACTCTAACATAGTAGGGGCAGAAATGGTCTCTGACCTCTCCCTTCCTCTAATAGTTTTTATCTGAAATCAATTGAAATATATTTGTTACTTGAATTCTTTGGTCATCTGGTTCCTTAAAAGAATTTAGCTTCCCTGTTCCCATCTCTGGTCCCCACTTCCTTTTGCTGAACATGTCCTCTGGAAGGGCTTTGGCCCGCCTTCCTCACTGCACTGCTGGAGTGTGAGGCCAATCGTCCCAACTGTTCCCACGTCCCCTACATGTCCCTAGCCTCGGTGGAGAAGGAGTGTGTTTTGGAAATAGCCTTTTGTCCTTTGCAGTTTCTCAGCCTGAGGAAGGTTAGGCAGGCCAGCCGAGACTTCACTCTGCAGGTATTTCCAGTCTGTCAGTGTTACATCTCAGTGGGAGAGCACAGTCAGCGTGCACAAGGCCTTGGGGTCCACCCTGAGCATCCTCACACACACACAAAAAAAAAAAACAGACTAAGGGCCAGGGATACAGCTCAGCAATATAAGTGCCTACGTGGCAAGTTCAAGGTCCTGAATTTAATCCCTAGTGCGAGAGAGAGAGAGAGAGAGAGAGAGAGAGAGAGAGAGAGAGAGGAAAAAGGCTAAATCAAAGGGGGAAAAAAACATCTTACACAAAGCCCAAGATGTTCCTGTCCAGCTAAATCTACCTCCTGCCTACCCTGAAGGCAGTGATGGTCAGATTGTGGGAGAAGCCCATTTCATGAAGCAGTGGACGTCCAGTGTATGGCACCTGATCGGGAGTCCTTTCCCCCACCAGCTCCCAAACCATGTCTTCTTCCTGACCATCAGCCTTTGCGACAGCCGTGTGGGTCAAGGACTTAATCCACGCACAGATTTTTATTCTGTTAACTCTGCAAAGTGTGGATGAGAACCACAGCCCAAGGCTTCGGATCTGCTTCTGGCTTGGCCGAGGCAGTGGGGCCAGCAGGCTGGAGCCCGGGAACCCTGCCATGGCTTTCTGCTGCCCGGAATCACAGCGGCCCTTCGGCTTAGGGAGGCAGGCGTGGGCCCTCTGCAGCTGTACTGTGCTAAAGCTGTATGGTGGCTATTTAATACTGCTCTTCTCTCTTAATGAGAAAGAATCACTGAAAGAAAGTAAACTTGCTGGGATCCAAGACCGTGAGGGCCACCGTGACTGTCAGTTACTAAGGCCAGACTGACCCACAGTCTTTGCTTCTTCTGATTTTTCCCAGAATTTTGGTGTGGGGATTATAGCTCATGATAGTAGTCTTCCTTATTCACAGGAGAAATGTTCCAAGATGTTGTACAGGTGCCTAAAACGATGAATAAAGGCAAATCATATCTATATATTCCCTTGGGGTTTAGGTCTAGCCTTCTCTCACGTTTGGAAAGTGACCGGTCCATGAAGGCACCATACCCATCAGTGGATTCAGCAATTAATGATTTCATTACAGCCGACACACTGTTAGGAAGTGGGGCCTGGGTGAAGGCGGTCGCTGCGGGGCATGACCTGGAAGCATGTGTTCTTGTCCCCAGTTCCTTCTCTTTGCTGACGGCCGTGGCTGGGTACCTGTTCTGCCATCAGGCCCCTCTGCCATCCTGTCTCTGCCTTGGAACCTGCTGACCACAGTCAGAAACTCAGCCCCTGTGTTGGTTACTTTTCTCTCATTGCTGAGATCAAATACTGGATGCTCAAAATTAAGGGAGGAAAGGTTTACTGAACTCCCACAGTGTGGAGGTTTCAATCTATAATTGGCTCGCTCCAAGGCAGGGTAGCAGGGCACAGGGGCAACATTTCAAGGTGGCAGAAGACAGCAAAGGCAGCAAGAGCAAAAGTTGGGAGAAAAAAGAAAAAAAAAAGAGCAAAAGTTGGGCCAGGGAGCCCTTATCCTCCGCTATCTTGTGTGCATCTGCCCAGCCACACCATCTCTGTGCCTTCCTCCTGCACAGGCTCCTGGTGTTTACAGAATGAGTTCCCTGGCCTCTCCATCTCCAGCTGACACAGTGTATCAGCCATCATGATCCAGCCCTTGTCAACTTGGCAACACAAGTTTCCAGATGCAAAGCTGTGTTTATTTTTTTTATTTCACAACTTGAACATTTTAACCCAGGTTTAGCAATCCTTAACCAGTATTAAGTCTATGAACATTTTATTACATTAGAATCATAATATCCTGCCCCTGGGCCCCAAAACACATGTACATCTCTTAAGCAAATGGCAGCTAGTCTACCTCTAAGACTTGCCAAAGTCCTACCAGTTTCATCGTTGCTGAGAAGCTGAAGTTCCAAGTGTACTCTGAGATGTAAACTCTTAGCTACAAGCTGCTGTACAAATGAAAACTTAGACTCTTCCAACATTCGGTGGCACAAGATAAATATTTCCATTCCAAGTGTTACACACAGCGATACTGAGGGTTGGGACAGAAGCAAGGCCAAAGTCCAGCAGCACAAACATAAAATCCTCTATGCGGTTCCATGTCCAGCATCTGTAGCGAACTGCGGGAAATTGTGAGCTCCCAGGGGTTTCAGTGACTCCGCCGCATGGCATTTCTGCTGGGTACAGCAACCACGACTTCTCTATTAGGCCTGCTTTGCTCCCTCCTTACAGCTTTCCTTAAATGGTCCACGTTCCTGGCTTTTCCAAACTTCTGGGTTCTCCACCACACCTTCAGCTTCACACGCACAGATTCACACACTGCCCTTTCCAGGGCATGCTGTCTGACCTCCCAAGACTTTTGAAGTTGGGGTGGGAGCCTTTGTAAACCCAGAACTCTTTCATTCTGCATGCACCTAAATGTTGTATGTTACGAGTCAGTGCCAAAAGAAATGACAAGAAGACCCGATGAAAATAGCTTCAGAGGTCTCACTGAGATTAGTCTCTCTCCTAGTGAGCCCAGAGCCTCAAGCATCTCACATTTCTTGAGGGCTTTTAAAGGCAGGCTAAGGAATGTGCATAATTACTTGGTGAACACAAACTACTTGAGCATTTACCTAACTCTATGTTTACACAATGCTGGCCATTAACATCCCAGGCAAGAGAGGAGACAACAGCTGCAGCCTTGAGTCCCAGCTTTCCAGAGTTTACAAGTGAGACGGCAGCTCTCCTCGGGCTCTGTCTGGTGCTCCCTGCTCCCTCAGGACATTAGGCTTGTGTCTCATCTCTGTATTTCTATACCTAAAGCCAGAGCCCCGTGGATGATGCCCTGGTCTGCTGTCAGCAGAAGCGGTAGCCAGGCTTGCCTCTCTTGGCTGTAAGGGTTGAGTGCCTGGAATGCTGAGCGCTCTGAATCCAACTTTGCTGAGCAAATTTTCTGCGCTGCCACCATTCTGGAACGTGTTGCTCTGTGGCTTTCTTCTCAGAGCAAAGTTTTTCACTTTTGCAATTTTGAAGCTGCGAAGGGTGGAGACTTGCTGCTTCTTGTGGTGTCCTCAGGTCATCTTTTATATTGCTCTGTTCCTTCTCAGCAATCGAGATCTCCTCAGCTCTATGTTTGCAGTCCACAGCTTTACTGGAGCTTCCTGTCTAGCTTAACTCACATTTTAAATCATCCTGCTGTGCTCTTTGCTCTTGATTCTAAATACAGATAAAGCTAAGAACCCTGAACAACCGCCATGTGGCAACCTCACAATTAGACTGCCTTGAAATTTCTTCTGCCAGATTAATTAGTCTGCTAATCTTAATCTCAGTCTCAGGCAAAGTCTCTGGACATGAGCACAATGCAGACAAACTTTCTGCCAAGTCATAACACACATCAAGAGTCCAGCAGAAACCTCTTGAGCCTGGACTTTACTGACAGGATTTTTATCAGCCTGGCCTTCTGAGCTCTGGCCAGGCTCTAGGGCATCCTGGCTCTACTCCCTCAGGCACTGTCTCTGAACCTTTCCAAACTCTTCTCATAGTCCATTCCCAAAGGCTCTTGACCCACATGATCTGTTATAGTCACAGCAACAACCCCACTTCTTTGGTACCAAATTCTGCCTTGGTTCCTTTTCTCTTGTTGCAGAAGCAAAATACCCAACACTCAAAATTAGGGAAGGAAAGGGTGAGTGGAGGTTTTAGCCCATAATCAGCTGGTGCCAAGACAAGGTTGCAGGGCACAGGGTGGCAATTCAGTTGGCAGAAGATAACAAAAGCAACAAGGGCAAAAGTGGCTGGGGAGCAAGCCTGTTGGCTCCCTTACGTTGTATGCAGGCTCCCCACCCCTCAGGGGTGTATAGCGTTCACTATCCCCTTGTCCTCCTCTTCCACAGGGGCAGGATGTTTACACAGTGAGGACCTTGGCTCCCTGCTGAGCCACTTTGTTAAGCTTCCAGACTTCTCAATAAGCCCCTCCTCCCTTGTTGCAGGCCTCAGTTATTTCATCCCAGTGACAAGAAAGACGTATAATCCACAAATGATTGTGGAACGAGATTAACAAAGAACTCGCAATAAAATATATACATTATTTACAGTTTATGAATTGTTTTTTGTGAAATTTGCCATTCAGTATTTTTGGACCATGGTTGATCTTGATTGTGGGCAAATGAAACTGAAGAAAGCAGATGGCAGATAAGAGAGGGACTCTGTGAGCAGGTTTGCTGTGTCCTGTACACAGATCAGGACCCCAGAGCTCTGTGGGCAGGAAGACCTCGCTTGTCCTCTTCTGTCCTGAGCCAGCTCATGGCCTCCAGCCACCACACACCTCTATCTCTGGCAGGTGATGAGAGTGACAGTGGCCTTGGGCTGATGCTAGAGGCTGATATGCAATCCTGTGCTTGGCAGGGCCGAGGAGCCCCAGGGAGCAGCCTGCCAGAGCAGTTCCAGCCTCCACAGTGGAGCACGGCCCAGGTGAGCTGCACTTTTTCAGCACCTCAGGAGACTGATTCTGGGGCTCGGCCACATTGGCGAGATACCCCGCTCCTCACCAGGCAGCAATTGTGCCTGTTCTCAGAAAGTGATACCAGCCTGACATCATAAGACTGAGTCAGCCACAG